CTTGTTCTTGCGGCACCAATTTTAGGATGAGTAGACGTCTTTTGGTTAAATGAATATTACCTACCAAAAGCGAATAAAAGATAAGAAGTCAGCAAAAATATTTAGAGGTAGCAGTATTTATCGGTCTACAAGGCACCTCAGAAATAACATTTTGAATTCATTCAAGGAAGAAAGTGGGGTTGTAAAGTGGAATTGAGTAACCTGGGGGTTCAGTGGTTGTAAAGCAATGATTATGCCCTGTCACCCTCCCTTGAAATCTCTATGCTTAAGAGTAAAAACTGGTGAACTGGTTCAGAACCATGCTGATATATGTTTTACAGTAGCATCAGAGTTTTATACATGCAGCCAAATAAATATTTACTGGGCATTCATTTCCACAACGTAATAAACTTAGCAGTTGTCAATCTAAATAAATAAAATTTAATGGTCAAGGAATGAGACTTCAAAAACCTTCCTACATCCCTCCACTGTAAAGAAAGTAAGGAGTTTGTCTTACCTCACTTCTCTTTTCTCTAAGGTCTAATCATTTGCAAATATATTTTGGACTTTTCTGATCATGTATATAACTCATACCTATATTATGTAACATCCAAGATAGTTGATGGCAAGATAAATGCGAATAGTTTTCTATCACGCGGTTCTAATTGCTAACAAGTTTTCATTCCAACATCTTATTGTGATTGACAACAAAACTTGGCAGGTTACAGATAAAGCTTTACTTTCTTTAAATGCAGAAAATAGGAATCAGTAGCATAGAAATCACCAATTTAGCAGAAAGATGAAGATGGTTATATGATTTTCAACTTTCAAGTCTTCCCCAAACAACATGAATTAATGCAATCATTCTCAACCAAAGCTTATCTGTCAAGAAAAAGGGAAACAACTGAAAATATTAAAATATTCCACTTTTTAGCCATCTCAAATACCTTTTTCAGTAAATCAGCATCATCATCATCTAAGCCTTGTCCCGATTATACAGGGTTGGCTGATGAATCTTGTTCTGCCATTCCATTCTTGTTCAGTGTCATATCCATTATTAAATTATGAGCCCTTAAATCATCTCTTGCTACTTCAACCCATGTCCTTTTTGGTCTGTCCGTAGCTCTTTTTATCCCCTTCAACTTGTAACAGATCACTCGTTCTTACTAGTACTGTAGATGGCTTCTCTGTGTAACCAAACCATCTTAGTCTATTTTTTGTCATTGTATCACCTATTGGAGTCAATCCTAGGTTCCTTTGAGTAAGTTCATTTCTAGTCCTACCCTTTCTAGTTTTTCCACTCGTTCATCTTGACATTTATATTTCTGCCACACTATTTTTTTTTTGGATATTTCGTTTTTTAACTGTCCAACACTCAATTTTTTCTTTTAGCTTAAGTGGTATTCTCCTATTACGTAAGACTCCAGATACACCCCCTCCATTTTGCCCATCCTGTTCTAATTTTATGTGTGGCATCCTACTCGATCTCTCCCTTGTTATGGATCATTGAACGAAGGTAATGGAAGAGATATCACTTTGAGCTATCTCTGGGTCTCCAATCCAAAGTGTACCCTGATTTCTATTCTTATTATCATCAAATTTGCATTGCATACATTCTGTTTAATCACTTTAAAACCTCTTGTTTCTAATCAGTACATGTACTTCATGAGAAGTCCTCGTGTGTCTGCAACCTCCTTTCTTTCCCTGAAGGAATTCTGTATAATCTCAAATACATGAGAAGAAAGTGAAAAGTGAAATACAGCTACTACAGAGCTCATAAAATAGCGTTGGAAACGACCAAACATAACCACTTATTACTATGCATTATAAGGCATTGAACATGTGCATCCAAAGGCACAACACTTAAATTCCGGATTGAAGTTTCTAAATCTAGTTCAGAAATGAAGTTTGAAAATCTCGTCTTCAGAGGGTGCTTCCTGATCTACGAGGTGTTGTAAGATGATATGAATGTCAAGGAAGGAATCATCCATATTATTATACTTCTATACCATGTCAAGTTATTTTGGTTTTTTTCTTAATTACAGTTCCAGGAAAATACTTTAATAAACCACAATAGTATTCTTGGAAAGGTTTATCCACTCCCCATTCTTCTAACTGAAAAGTGTCCTTGGATGTAGTTCTGTGTCTTGCTCTGTCCTTATTCATTACATATTGGAAGTTGTATACATTCAAGAAATAAGAAAACTTGAGTTTCATGTGGCAAGGTCATGTAACAGGACATTCAAAGGCAATAATGCATATGATGACTCGATTACTTTTTGATAGCTAAATTAAGGAAGCTAATAAATAAGACGGCATACTATAGGAATACAGAATATCATAAGGCAAATGAAATCAGCATTACAACAAAATAAATTAAGAAAACACTTATTCTTTTTTCTTTTGGTGGACAGAAAATACATTCAGTATTACATAATAACACTGCGAATTGTGTAACACCAATTTGCATATACATTATGGTATATTATAAGTATAGAAGAGAAGCTGTCTAGGAAGCAAAGTGTTCAGTGCTCCATACTGTCCTTTTGGCACATGAAGGAAAGGTCTATCCAAAATGTTAGGTTGAGAAAATACTTTTTTCAGCCTGCATGTACATTAAACATTAATTCCTGTGCTCTCTGTTTATGGCAGTGCTAAAAATCATTATTCTAACAACATAACTGAGATATCATCAAGTCAGAGGTTCTAATTTGAAATATGATTTCACATTTTCGATGATTTGCTCTCAAATCATTTACTCTTTTTTTTTTCTTTTTAATTTTTTCCTGGTTTATAAGCAACAGTATACGAAATAATGCAAACCAGCTACCCTTTAATACAATTTATTCAGGATCAAACTGGTATACATGGTATGCATGCAAGACAAAAATAATACACACATACAATTGATCCAACTAGGAGACCATGCCAAATTCTGAAGCAAGGAAATTGCCATATGTAGTGTGCATGCAGATGAAAATAAGATTCACATACAGTTTGTCCAACTCGGATGCTTATACAAAATTCTAAAGCAGGTGAGGGAAAATTATTTGCCAACACCATTAGCTATGTGAAGCCAGAACACTGAGGTTGGTAGGTGATTCCCTACCATACAGTTTTAAAGGGAGGAAAGCTTAGATTTAGGTTAGAACTTGTAAACTATAGAAAATGACCTGCTTTTATAGAAGATTAATTGAGTCTTATTGGTATCTCCATGTTAAATATTTAGGAAATGGCATCTCTTCAATTTGTTTTTCTCTTACATACAGAATTACAGGCGTTTATTAAGCCTAGGCTTGTGGCAACTCTATTTTGGGAACCCACATGCTTGGTCAGAGCAATTTCCCAGTTGTGCATAAGAGATCCATCTGTTAATATTACTCCAATCGTCCAAGCAAATTGAAGTAGAAGGGGACTCCAGGTTGGTGGTAGGGTGGATGAAAACAAATAGTTTGTGAATTTCTCATAGACAGGTCATGAGGGAGGTCTCATGTCTAGCAAGGGAGATTGGTGTCGTCTTTAAATGGGTTAGAAGATCAGTTAATGGTTTGGATGACACTTTAGCCAAACAAGGAACAAGTAGGGAACAATTAATATGGGCTGCTTTGTAAGAGTAACTTCCAATTGGGGCTAAAACCCTTAATTTGGGTGCTGTGATTGTTGTACTTAATATTTTTAAGTTACTGAATGCATGCTACTGTTTCCAATCAAAAAAGTATATATTACTCCAATTGTAAATCAGCTTCATCATCACCTTCAGAAATTCAATGGGGGATCCCTCTATTTCAGGCTACCACACAGAGTAATTCCACAATTTCAACGCTATTCTGAATAATCTTTCCCTTTGAGAAGAGCAAAATAATTTGTAAAATTGATTGTGCAGAAGATGGAAACTGGATGTGAAACAATTCACTTAGAGCCGGTCTCCCAATCTGGCTAAATAAATTACAAGGACTATGCTTGAGTCTCACCAAGCCGAAGAATATTTTATTTGCACAAGGACCAAGCACTGCAATTGTGTTGGATGCCACAACCGAAGTTTGACATCTAAAATTGAAAGAAAAATTAACAAGTGATAGCCATAACTTGAAACTGAAAGCTAAGAGTACAAAGTTCTAGAAGAAGCAAATTGTTAAGTTACAATGAAGTTCAGAATGAAGCCCGAATAATAATCATCTTAAGACCATGAGGTGTCTATGAATCTGCCAAGTTTATTATACAAATTTTAAAATAACATAAGAAAAAAGAAGGAAAACCTCAATTTTAGATGGTTTGGTCAAGTGGATTAAAGACCAATGACTTAATTACCAAGATTGTAAGAACAGATGTGGTGTCTGATAGCTTACTTGTTGAAAAGAAAATATAGCCTAGATGGAGTGGCTTTAGAGGGAAAGAATTCATGTACCATTTCAAAACCAACAAAACTTTTTCTTGGTAAAAAAAGGTACTCCACCAACGCACAGAACACAAGTTGATCAAATAGGAAATAAAAAACAAACTTTATGTTTTTCTCTCTCTTACTTTTGACACGATTTTAACCTGAGGAAACATGTGATGTTTTTTCTAAAGTATTAGACTAAAATTATCTATCATCCATATGGGGGATTTTATAGGTTATCAATATACCAGCAGAGTAGACATCTTTCACCAAAAGTTGATTTGACTCAACTGTAAATATGATGCGATTTACTCCACTCCATTCTTTTTCTTTTTCTTTTTAATGTATATGATCTGTGCAACTCTTTTGGACAGACTGAAACAAAGCAAGGCAGAAGGGGGTACAGGGTGGATATTAGAATTATCCAACCAGGATAGAGCAGGAAATTGTAGCAAATCTCATCAAATGTGAGATTGGGATGCACAGACTATCAACCTGCATGTGAATGATCTATACGGTTTTGGTAGTTTGGTACAATATCCTTATGGTCAAAGAGACTTCTGACTTATCACTGTAGATGGTTATGCATTATCACTGTATGATGGCTGTGCATGAAAGTGCATGAATCTTGACTTTTGACTTATGACAGAGAACCAAGCAACCCTGCCTGCTATTAACTAAAATCTGGTAACACAATCATTCACAGGACTCCTGGTTCACAACCATCACCAATAATCACCACATGAGCAAATACCATTGTTGAAATGATGAAAGCGGTTCATATCTCTCACAATTATTTCACGCTGGACTACCTTGGACACAAACTTGATTGCAGCATGGCAATCGATACATATGCGGAGATTCTTGATGATACGAATTGGACTTCCGGGTGGTGTGCTAACAAGCCCAAAAGCCAAGGCTAATCTCTCACTGTGAACCCACAAGAGGCGTTCTTTTTCGTCCTCTTCCACATCAAGCAAAACAACATTACAGTTGGGTACATAACCAGCRTTTTTAATTTTCATCTTCAACCATTCCAGCATCCCATTGATTGCCCGTATGTCAGGGTGTGATCTATCACCTACAGTGAAATAATGAACGCCACTTTGATTTTCAATCCAGCTAAGACCAGGTTCTTTCTTTACTCCTTTCCTTTTCATGTATTTTCTGATGGAAGCTACATTATCCCATCTTCTGGCGGTGGCATACATATTGGAGAGTAACACATGGGCGGCCTCATCATGGGGTTCCATATCAAGCACATGTTGTGCGGAAACTCTTCCAAGCTCAATATCATTGTGAATTACAGAGGCACCAAGTAAAGCACGCCACACCATAACACTTGGCTCAAAAGGAATTTCCTCAATGAATTTCACAGCTTCATTAAGACGACCAGCACGCCCTAAAAGCCATACCATGCATGTATAGTGCTCTATGCATGGTTCAATGCCATATTCCTGAACCATAGAATTGAAATAAGATTGACCTTGATACACCAAACCAGTGTTGCTACATGCTGATAATACACCAACAAAGGTTATCTTGTTTGGTTTGATATCTTCTTCTCTCATCCGTTCAAAAATTCTTAAAGCATCATCACTCAAGCCATGAAGAGAATACCCAGATATCATAGAATTATATGAAACTTCATCTCGGTCATGCATTGTATCAAAGACAAGACGGGCATCTTTAATACTTCCACACTTGGCATACATGTCAATCAGAGCATTGTCAACTACCATATCTTTGTCAAAAAATGTTCTGACAATTAAAGAATGAATCTGAACTCCTGGCTCTAATGCTGTTAAATTTGCACAAGCACGAAGAACACTGGAATATGTAACCTGAGTTGACTGTATTTGGTCATTGTGCATCTCAGAGAAGAGTCTCAGTGCTTCCTCACCATACCCTAATTGCACGTACCCAACAATCACTGTATTCCAGGTGACATCATTTCTAAGATGCGACTTACCAAACAGTTCCATTGCATCCTCCATCCTTCCACATTTAGCATAGACATCCATAAGGGCGTTTTTGACAAAAATATCTGAGTCAAGTCCTACCTTCCTAACATGGCCATGTATTTGCTTACCGAGTTCGAGATCCTCCATGGTAGCACAGGCCTGTAAAACACTGGCAAATGTATACTGATTGGGTACCACAAAGGCTTGCTTCATCTGACAAAATAGCTTCATAGCCTCTTCACTTCGATTGCTCTGACTATAACGCGCAATCATGAAACTCCAAAGAATCACATCCTTGTGCGGCATCTCTTCAAAAACCATCTGAGCATCATCAACGTCTCCACATTTTGTATACAACTCTAGCAAAGAAACACCCACGTAAGGATCCAGCTCATATCGAGTTTTTAACGCACACCCATGAAGGCTCTTACCCAAGTCAAGAGATGCCAGGCCAGCGCAGGCTTTAAGTGAACTAGCAAAAGTAAAGTTATTTGGCTTCAAGCCAACTTTCCTCATTTGATGGAAGACTTCTAGAGCCTCCTCGAAGTAATCATTTTCAGCATAGCATGCTATCATTCCAGACCAAGAAATCATGTCCTTCTCGACGATGTTATCGAATACCTCCCTAGCACCATGGACAAGCCCGCAAACAGAATAGGCATCAATCAGAGCCGTCGCAACAAATGCATTGGAGTCATGACCAAGCTTTAAAATGGAGGCGTGGACCTGCCAACCAAGCTCTGCAAGTTCCATACTCACAAGCAGTTTTAGTATAGTTGTGAAGACAAATGGGTTAAGTTCGTTACCTTCTCTATGAAGTCTGCGAAATAACTCCATTGCCTCAGTGAACTGGTGGGATTGCGCATAACCATGAATTAAGGTAACAAACGAAACCGTATTTCTCTCCCTCAATTCATCAAACAATCTGCGTGCCTCCAGCAAGAGATCTGATTTGACATACATATTAAGAAGAATGTTCCAAGCAAACAGATCCAAACAGCCACCCCTCTTCAGGATGTCACAGTGAACACCCATCCCTCTTCTTGATGCCTCACCGTTGCAATCACAGTCCTGAAGCAGGCGGGCATACGCATGAGAGTTGAACTCTGGACCTGCTGGGAGCACATCATTCTCACGTTCGTAGGCCACTTGAGCGCACTGAACTGAGAAGCTACATTGTTGGAATCTGCTGCAAGAAACGGGTGTACGATAAGCTACAAAATTCATCCATAGCCGTCGTACTTTATAACGAGATAGTCTAACCATTTGCCCTTTATACCAGAAATCATAAGACAAGGATTTTCAAAATTCATCCATATTGGTTTCTTTCATTCTTTTCTTCTTGTGAATAATCTTCCTGGTAGAAGGTAGACGCAGAATTAAACACTAAAAATAAAAAGAAGTCGTTAGTCACAGGAAGTCAGCAGCTGCCGGTCTCCCCCCACCAAGTAAGTTGTAAGATGCCTACTTGACTAAAAAATTGACCCAGTAAGCTTCCTGGATTCTGATCGGTCGAAGTCCGACAACACAGATACCAGAACTCATGGCATGCACCAGCCACCAAACGAGAACTGAAAAAAAAAAAAAAAAGCTACTCAGAAGATTGAAAAGGGAAGAGATATAATTTGGGAGTGCGACCAACATGGCAAGGTGGATCTTATATTTTATTTGTGGGAAAAATAGGTTGTTACAACTTACAATGGCAGCACGATGGTTGATGTATCGATTGTTGGTGGAGTGTCAATTTTGTGGCTAAGTAATTCGTCATTTGGTCTGCTTTCAAATAGTCGATAAGTCAGACCGAAGTGGAGAACTTTGGCTGCCGAGCTGAGTCGAGCTGGGTAGGGTAGGTGGCGAGCTGACTATAGTGTCGAGCTGCCTATGAGGTATCGGGCTGACTAGGTGTCGAGCTGCCTGTGACGTGCCGGGCTGACCAGGTGCCGAGTTGCCTGGCGGCGAGCTGGATTGATGAGCTCCGTTGCTCTTTTAGAGACCTACAAGGAACCAAATGTCAGAGGACCCGGGGTGGCTAACTCGGCGAGGTCACTCCGATGCTTAAGTCAGTACTCTCATAATAGACTGCGAGTTAAAAATCACAAAGTATGAGAGCTAGAATTTGCTTACTTGCTTACTTGCCCATGGGGTTGGTGCCTTTATATAGGCATTGTTTGGCGTGGGCTTCACGCACCATATCCGAGATTTCTGCGAGGTCGTCTAAGTGGTTCGAGATTTCTGGAGGTAACCGCCATGCACGTTGACTACCCTCCGAATCGTTCGGCACGTGGGCCAACTTCCAAGGATCGTGGGAGTGTTAAAATATGCATGTCGAATTTGTTGGTGAGCACGTCACACAGGTTGCCAGGTCGTGCCTGTGCCAAGCTACCAGCTCGCGCCAAGGCCAGGCCACCAAGTTGTGCCAGTGCCAGGCTGCCAGGTCGCGCCAAGGCCAGGTCGCGCCTGTGCCAGGCCGCCAGGTGGGACACCATCAACTTGGCTAAGGCAAGTTGTTGCCAAAGTGGTTCTGGGTGTCACCTAGTTGTTCTAAGGTGCCATGTGTCACAATATCATTGGAGGGCCAAATACACCCTCATCAATGGTAATACAAATACAAGAGCATGGCAGCAGAACAGCTAGCTCAACTGCTAAAATCAGTGGTTATTCCCGTCTAGGCGTTGTTGACCTGGAATGGAAATCATGGTTTTTAAAACCGAACCGATTAGTGCACCGCTTTCCAGTTTTGCAGTTCAACTGTTCGGGTCGAACAATTCAACTCGTGATGTTATAAATAAATAAAAAAACAAAAAAAATACTTATATATAATAAAAAATACTATAGAAATTTAAATAAAATACAGAAAAAATTTCCAAAAAATATAGAAAATTTTCCAAAAATTATAGAAAAAAATATGTAAGCAAGAATATGTAATGAGCACCTGTTTTTTTAGAAGAAAAAAAAAAGCATATTAGTTCAAAAAAAAATTATCTGAACATATCTTCATAAGAAAGCATAAATTTCATATCAAAACATATTTTGAGAAGGAAAAAAAAAAGAAAGAAAATTCTGAAAAATATAGGATGAGACCCTGTTTTTTTCATAGGAAACGAAGAATAAAAATGATAGAAGAAGAAGAATGTGTTGATTTGATAAAATTTAAGATATTCCTTGCTTATCCTAACTAACGAGAGTTTTATCCTAACAAATGAGCCAAAAGAATTCAAAAAATCAATTAAATCACAAAAAAACCAGAAAAAAATTATACCTTTAGGGATTCACCGCCGTGGGCTCAGGTAGTCTGTCGTTGCAAGTGCTTGGGTGACTCTTTTTGCCGTTGCAAGTTCGCCAGGTGGTAGGGTGTGAGGGTTGAGACTTGAGAGGATTGAGAAGTGAAGAGGGAACTCGGGAACCTTAAAGGCTAAACCGAATAAGGGACTAGGATTAGGATTCGAAAATCAAACTGATTGGGATACAATTGGCATTTTATTTTTTATTTAAAACATTAAAAATAAAATAAATATTAACCTGCAAACTGCTGTTTGGGTCAAAACGTTTAGCGGTCCAACCACCCAAGTCAGCGGTTTTCTTTTCAAATTTCTGGTTTTTAGTAAAGCCGGACCTGGATGGCTGACCGATTACCGGTTTTTCCAGTCCGACCGTCCGGTCCGATCCAGTTTCGAAAACCATGATGGAAATGGACCAGGCTCCAAGTTGAGCCTGTGCAAATGGACTAAAATTAGAGAGCATTGTACGATACGTATCGATTTTTGGCATGGCCGAAACGTCTAATACTTTTTTATGGGAATTAAAGTTGGCTTTAATTTTTTTTTTTTGGTAATAGGAATATCATTACTAAAAAGATTAATATCATTTGAGTATCAATTTTTGGAACAGACTGCAACGTATAAGAAAAAATAATTGCCGATGCTTTGAATCGTTCAATATGTGAAAAATCAGTATTGAGAGCATCAATACTCTGATCCTTGCTTGAAACAGACCAGTCACAATTTGCATTTAGTTGCATTGAAGTTCCAACAAGCAAAAAAAAAAAAAAACTTCTAAACTGCCAGTAGGTAAAATTGAATGTGCAAATGGTCTAGCAATTTGTTTACTTTCTGCACACCTTGGAGTTCTTTCATAATTTAAAAAAAAAAAAAAAACTGCAATAAATGAGGCTACTAGTAATATACATATACAAGGAATTCCCTATCAAAGCAGAATCCAACTTGGAAACCAAAGCATGTAGCAATTACACATGGCATAAACAGGAAAAAAAGAAAAACACTAGAGGGAGATTATATAAATACTAGTTCGAACCAGTAATAAGTTTTGTCTGGTTGGTGTATGTATGGACGAGGATCCGTCTCTTACAGAAACTACACAAGATGCTTGCCTGATTTTCAGAACAGTACAAAAGAACAAGGTTGTTGGTAGGTATTAGCAAAGTCGTGACAAAAGCTAACAAATCTAAATCACATCCTGGTCCTCAAGAATATTTAACAACCCAAGCACATCTCTTAGTCCAACTTCAGCCTGCCATCCTCCTCTTGCTGCTTCTTGGGTTCGGCAGGGAAATATTTTATGCCCACAAGATCACCAACTTGGCTGATAACCTGGCAAATAGCATCCCCAACAAGAAAGTTGTTATGGATGGGCTGTCACAAAAGTTAAGGACAAGATCATACTTTCAAAATTACAAGATTTTGTATGGTAGACATGGTTAACCAGATCATATACCAAATGCAGCCAATTGTGAGTACACATCAAGGAAATCCTAGAAAAAAAAATCAGTAAGCAAAAGCCAACAAACGGATAGTTAGGGTGACAGATGAATAAAATCCTTTTTAGAGTGCATCTTAAATGAGGTCCCAGGAGGCAATCAAGTCTAGACTAATATTTCCATGGTTTTTAAAACCGACCCGGTGACTGAACTGGTCAGGGGTCCGGTTACCGGGTTGAACGGTCCAACTGTTCAAACCGAACGCTCGGCCCGTTCTGACAAAAAATAAAAAATTCAAAAAAATAAAAACCGGTCAAAACCGTTCGAACGGTTAACCGTCCGGTTCAGCGGTTCGCTGACCAAAATCAACGGTTTTGGGGGAAATCCGGTTTTGGGGGGAAATGGAGGTTCCCTTTTCTGGTCCGACCGTCCGGTCCAGTCCAGTTTTGAAAACCATGAATAATATTTCCACAATATACAGTGGATACTCAATGGTACTACTGCATCTGAAGATTCTAAACATCATTAAGGTGGAGGGTTGTGGCATCCTTAGGCAGAAAGCAATGGCCTTTGAAGGGTGAAATGGCTAAATTTTAGGGGTTAACCAAACCGTGGGCTCTTTTTTGAAATCGAACCGGTACCACCAGTTGACTGGTTTTGATTTTATATTTATAATATATCATAAATAAATAATATAAATATATTATATATTATATTATAAAAAACAAATAACATATTTATAATATATTATATATAATAAGCAGATAACTGTAAATGTATATATACATAATGCATATATATTAATATAATAGATACTATTATATTATTAAGATATATAATATAATATACATATATATATACCAGTCAGTTTGGATAAATGCTGGTTTTTTCTAGGTTAACTGAAAACCGAACCAGTCCTTCGGTTTTTCAAGAAATACTGAACCGATCAGTTTGGTTTGGTTTTTCGGTTTTTTTATGAGCACCCCTACTAAATTGGGACCTTCAAATTAGGAATTGATAGCATGGCATACAATGCTTTCATGTCAAGGATTACAGGAACATTTGTGAACACTATTTGTATTGAAAACCTTTATTTCATTTTATAAGGGCTACAATCCAGGTGGTGGAACCTTAAAATGTCCCCTGTCAATTCTAGAACGCCAATAGAAGTAATCTCAACCAGATGGTTTTAGCTTAAGGACAGCCTTGGTTATCCATCTAAAGGAAACACCACAACAACCCTATTAGAAACCATCACTCCCTTCTCCTTAGATGGTCATAATACATGATGATTATCAAGGAAGTGGTGAGAATCTAACTCAGGCTAAAATAAATGACATTCAAAAATGTTACCAAATCAAGTGGTAAGGACGGCCATACCTAATCATAGTTTTACTAAACTATAACCAGTTTGAGGAAAAACACAGATCTTCGATCAACTACTTGTGATGAGGACAAATGCAGGGAGAATGTATATTTCTTTACAGGAAAATTACCTCCAAGGCTTTAATGAGATCTTCCTTGGTATGAGCAGCAGATATACATATACGTGCCCGGGCCAACAGTAGTGGGGTTGCTGGGAATGCAACTGTCACAATAGCCACCTGTAACAACAAAGCTTTGATGTTGAGCCACATAAAATGTGATTTTATGCTGCCACTAAACAAGTACTAAATAATATTGGAAATTTAAGGTCTGAGTCTATAGACAAGAATTTATGGTCCATGGCTCCATGCACCACTTAAAAGGAAGCAAGCAAAGAAAGGACCCAACATTCGATGGTTCTCTTGAGGAAACATCCGACAGGATATATTCCAAAATAAAAGCTTCCTCATTGGATAACTGTTTCAGCTCAGATCTATTGCATGTAAGACCGCTAATCTGGAAATGCAAGTGAAGACCCACTCACATTTTGCTTAAGGCACTCCCGAGAAAAGGCAGGGATTTTAGCTGGATTGTAAAGCATTATAGGCATTATTGGAGAGTCATTATCGCCAAGAACCTCAAATCCCATTTTCTGAAGTTCTGACCTGAAAAAGTTGCTGTTCTCACGTATTCGTGCTAGCTTCTGAGCCCCTACAAAAAAAAAAAGGTTGCTCAAGAAATCATCAAATAAAACACATTAAGGAGTCAGCATTGCAAACCACATCATAGTCAAATAAATAGAAATCCGATAAGTTCTTTAACCTCTACTGGAACCATCCTCCCCAAGAATAACTTTTATGGCAGATATGATCTGTTGGGCGGCAGGTGGTGAGATTGATGTTGCATATAGATGAGCAGGACAAGTGTACTTTAGGTATTGAATAAGCTCCTGAAAATGAGAAGAAAGGCTTAACCACAGAAAGTGCAGATCCAAGTTCAGGGATTGCTTTATCCATCCAAATGCTAATGCTATACAACTAAAGTAATGCCAATGACAAGCCTCAACAGCAAGCTACAGGCATGTTATCAACATCATCCAAGCCTTTTCCAATCATATGGGGTCAACTAAACCATAGGCATGGTATGCAGAACATTATTCCACCATTTAAAATGCACCTATAAAGGGAAATACCATTACCTGGCATTTCTTTAGGAACAATTAAGTGCAGCAAATCAAAAGCCCAAAATCCAATCTGATTATCTATTTACATAATTGGATTTGGGTTTTATAACCTACATCCAATTAATAATCATATTGGATGTGGATTTAATCCCTTCCCATCTAAACCGAATAATCAGTTCGTGCAAGGCTTGGATGATCATGATGATAATATAGATAAAATTTATAGTAATAAATATAAGCTAAAAAGTAATTAACCTTTTTTTTAGTTTTTCTTTACTTTAAATAAATATAAAGACTGTTCAGATCAAGTCAAAATCCAATCCAAGACCCCTTAGATCAGATCGGATTTCAGATCATGCTTGCATTTCAATTTACAGTAATCAGATTGGTTTCTGATGTTGTTGGATCCAACCCAATTACAACCCTACATACCTATCGACTAATCCATTCAATCCATCATTTATCAGGTAAATGATTTGAATTAAACAAGTCCCCACTGGATGTAGCAGACAACTGTTGCAGTAATAAACTACAAAAGCTGTCAATAGTACATATTTCTCATTGATTATTTTTTTGATAGGCAAGGAAAATTTTATTAAGAATTAACTAAAATGTGTACAGACAGGCATCCCAAAAGGAGGTGTGAGATGCAGCCTCAGGTACAGATCAGCTTACAAGTAAGCCCCAAAGATAGATTCCCTAAAAACCCCTTGCTTAGCTAAAGAATCTGCTAAGCCTTTAGCCGACCTTCTTTGCCACTAAATTCTTACAACCATATTAGAGGTTAACCATTTGAATTTCTTTGCAGCTTCCTTGTAGGTCCAAATAACAGAGTCTGGAACTATTAGCCACCCAACTACCAGTTTGGTATCCCCCTCAATTATCAATCTGTCCATATTTAGCTGTTTTGCAAGCTGGCTGCACCCCCTGCAGAACTACTTGGACCCCCTATACCAACCGGGTCTGAAAACAATGCAATTATATTCCCACCTTCATCCATTGTAACACCCTCTATACCTGATGGCCTGGATTACCAAGACAGGCACGACTGCTGCCATCAAAGTTAAGTTTTAGGTACCCTTCTTCCAGTGGAACCCATTCTGGATCAGGCTTGTCTTTAGTGTCTGAGGAGAGTACCACTGCTTTCCCAATTCCTCCATATATCACCAAAGGAGAATGGAGAGAACAGCTTTAAGGTTTTAACCCAGTCTATAGCCCTTGTTTTTTATCAGCTAGTTTATAGCCCTTGTTTTTTTATCAGCCAGTGTATAGCCCTTGTTTTGATGCACCCCCCTAGATCCCTCCAGGTGTCTTTCTTTGTCATTGAAAACTCTAGCATTTCTTTCTTCCCAAATGGTCCAAATCAACACAAACCTTGTACACCTCCGCAATATTCTACCCCTCCGCTTAGACCAGCTCAAGGAAGAAGGTCAAATAGGCCACAAACATCTGGGTGTTGACCACCTACACCCAAAAAGTACAAGTAACTTTTCCTAGACTTTCAACCACCGGGCAAGAGACAAACAAATAATAGCAGCTCTCTCCACTAGCTTTACAAAGAAAACACCAGTTAGGGGACAAGCAAAGGTTAGGTCTTCTAATTTGCAAGGCATCCAAAGTGTCTAACTTTACATGGTAGACTTCCCAACAAAGAGCACTAACCTTAGGTGGCATAGGTTTGGCTTAGACTTCTTTGGAGAGAAAAGAGGGGATTGAAGAGTCTGAACACAAGGAGGAAAAGAAAGAGGCACAACTGAAAACACCTTTAGTGTGGGGTCCAAATTCTAGAATCCAGCAAAGAAGGGTCCAAGTAAATAGTTCAAGTATTTTCAAAAGCAAAGCAACCTGGTCAAACTCATGGTCAGTAATTTAAAAGGCATGCCTGAGGCGCATTCCAGACTAGGCACCTCGCATGAGTCAAGGCGGCCAGACTTTAGAAAGGTGCTCTCCTCTGTACCTAAGGCATGCGCCTCGGACCAGGCGCCAGGAAGCCCAGGCAAGCACTTTTTAGGTTGCCCATTGATTTTTTATTTGTTTTTAAATTTAAGTTTATACATGATTATTGATGAAGGGTGATTTGGCCCGACCTAGCAAGAAGGGGACACGTGGACACGACCTGACTAAGGGATGACAGCTCAGCCTGGCAAGCCTAGTTCGCAACGTTTGAGCTCGGGTATTCAGCCACCTCGGCCCAAAACTCACCTCGGCGTCGGGGCACCTCAGCATCCAATCCAGTTCGGAACTAAAGAATCGAAGTATCAGCTCGGGGCTAACAACCCGAATCGCCACGTAACCAACTCCAGAGGTCTCTCCAACGGATCCCAAGTTATTCAAGATCACGATGAGCTAACAGATCCCGAATTTCTTGAGATCACGATGAGCTAACAAATCCYGACTTTTCCGAGATCACGATGAGGACTCATCCTACTTCCGTCAAAGTCGGAAGTGAAACGATAAGCCTTATCTACGTACTACTCCTTCGGAAGCAGAACAAGCCCTATCTCCACACCCCGAAGATCCCGGAGCTCTTTCGTGAAACCCACGACTACTCCAGTATATAAAGACGGGAACCTCAAGGCAAAGGTATGCGTGATTACTCTACTCTCTAGCTCTCTAGCTCTCAAGCTCTCAAACTCTCAAGCATTCAGCTCGCATTATAGCGTACTAACTTAAGCATCGGAGCAACCTCGCCGGGTTAGCCACCCCGGGTTCTCCGATCCACTGTCTTGCAGATAGATCCAGCTCGCTACTCGATTGGAAGCCAGATCGCCCTCCAACTGGGAGTAGTTAGATCGCGCAACAACAATTATAATTGTATATAAATTGTTTATTTCCTTTATGGCAAATTTAAAAGAGAGAATACACGACCCATATCGAGAGAGCCAAAAACTTGCTATACAAGGCTTTCACCCAAATTGTCTCAGACTCTCAAACTCTCCCAGTCTCAGTCAAAGTGTTGAACGGCAAGTTCAGAGCTCCTCAGCCCCCAGATTCCTTCGAAGTTTGATCATCAGGAAGCCATCTCTCAGTCTCAGTCGTCTCTTAGTTGAATGGCAGCTGCAGCGTCTCGAAGTTTGATCATCAAGCGCATTTAGAATTTGTCGCTTTTTGTGCGCCTTTCGCTTTTAAAACACTGCTCATGGTCCCTTACGTGTCTTTAAAACCCAAGTCCCAACTAATACTAGAGGAGGGAGACAAAAGAAGCAAACCTTTGAATAGGTTCATTTTTAAACAGTGACAAGGAATACAAAGGAGAAAGGTCCTTATGGGTAGAATTACCAATCCAGAAGTCTTCCCAAAATAAAACTTTATCTCCAGTGTAGACATTATACCTAGTAAGGCTTAAAAACGGAGGAAGAATGCCATGAATGGCTTTCCATGGTGAAGATAAAGTTGTTCTCTGAAATAGACCAGCATCCCATCCATTGCCTGCTCACCCATGTACGCTTTCCACCACTTCATGCCAAAGCCTCTCTCTCTCCATCGGCCATCTCCACAACCATTTACCCAACAGTGTCAAATTCTTCTTCCCTGTACTACCTAATCCCAAGCCTCCTTGCTCTTTACCTTTACGCACAGTTTTCCAATTTATCAAATGATCCCTCCTACCTTCCCCCCACTCCCACAAAAAAAAAGTAAAATAAAATAAATCCCTAATAGCCTTCTCTAATTTCAACACCTCCCTTTGCGGTATCCTAAAGACTGAAGGGTATTTTTCTCATTGATATTTAAATTATAGGCTCCAAACCATCACCATGGTTCAAACTTTCTAAACTTTAGTTAAGGTTAGTGATCATGAAAAGGTTACATGTTGCAGAGTTATGATGGCTTGCAAACAGTACAATAGGTAGGATTTGTTGAGGACAGTAAACTTCAGTAGTGTCATGTGACTTCTGGATGATATGGTAAATCCATGTCAAAAGATGCATCATGCTCTAATTCCTTGAATTCAAACAGAGTACTAAGATGATGTGCAAAAGAAATAAAACCTTAGATCCTGCAATATAGCCACCACATGATCCGAATGACTTGGTAAAAGTTCCCATCATGATATCCACGTCAGCAGTATCCACACCTAAGAGCTCACAAACACCTCTTCCTGTTTTCCCAACTGCTCCAATGCTGTGGGCCTCATCCAAATATGTGTATGCCTACAACAAGATTAAAAAGAACATAAACAAATAAAATAAATAAAAATTGTAAACCTGGAACAAGATTGAAGTAAAAACAAGAATGGCATGCTAATGTGCATGGATGCGCAAATGCATGTGCATGCCTGCATCTGTGTCACTGTGTGTGTGTGTGAGAGAGAGAGAGAGAGTCGAATGCCTTCTACGTTATTTTATGGAGAACAGTTGAATTTTATTAATTACGGGAAAAGAATAATATTTACAACAAGTGATAAGCACCCAAAAGTATAGGCCAGCAAGGCCGACTAAACCACATCTTTTAATTTCATCTTTGCCCTGTCTAGGTTATGTTACAGACGCCATCTGTTCCCCAAAAAAGCTGCTGTCTATTCACTCCTTACTTTGCCACACCTGCCAACTGCCATTGTGTTAGCAGTTTTTGGTGCCACTGAAAGCTTATGATAGTATTATTTCCCAAGCCTCTTAACTCCATCACAATAAATTGGAACTGCAATATGACAAGGCTGCCATTCATTAGCCAAATGCAAGTTTCTTGAAAAACCTATCAAGGATCAGGTTCCAGAAGTTAATAGCTCTAGGGTTGCCTCCTAAAGGTAATCAATCCTAAGTCAACTCTTTCCAAATTCCCTATCAAGTTTGAGATATTTTCAAGTTTCAAAAAGGTTTATTAAAGTCTGTAGGTTTTTTAATCCTTCCACCCTCCGTCCTTAGAGAATAATAATAGCATCTGCAAATTGCAAGCAAGAAATAAAGGCAAGAAATCAAAACCTCATCCCTCCCCACTCTCATTCCTTTTATTAAGTGAAAATTATCCATTCTAGAGATGATCTTATTAAAAAATCTATAATTAAGGTAAATAGGAAAGGAGATAAAGAGTTCCCTTGACTAAATCTTCTTTCTGCATAGAAAATCTTTTTTTAGCCATTAACTAAAATGGAGTAATGACATGATTGTAAAAAACCTTTTATCCATATCCTGTCTTCCCCAAACCCACACTTTTCCATCACCAGATTCAAGAAAGACCAATCCTCATCCCCCTAGATCATAACCATTTTCTTGATCTAACTAATACACCCAGCTGCAAAAGATTCAGACATTGATCCAATTAGATTCAAGCCTAATCCATTTGAGTCAAATCTGGAAATATGATTTGTTTATCAATAAGATCAAATTTAGATAAACTCCGATTCAATCTGATATGGCCAGACAAGTACATCACATAAAACATTTTAATATTATATATACCCCCTCTTATATGCTTAAACATGTTTAGAGTTTTAAAGGGATTTGAAAAAGTCAAACCTATTTTCATCTTTTAAAAAACACTTCTCCTAAGGCAAGGAAAATCCTCTTCGCCTCATTTCTTTCTAGTATTCACTTTCATGAGAAGAGGGTTTGATAGACACCACTGCTTACTGGTTAAGTTGAGAACTGGAGAGTTGAGAAGAAGAAAACATGCCTGAATAAGGCTAGGCATCATCTATTCTTGACTTTATTCACCTTCTTTTGTTGAAAAGAGGCTGACAACTTTGAACATACTGCCACCTGCACCTGCCAATTGAGAAGCTGAGAAAAGTTTGGAAGTTTCTGGAGTTGGAAGTCAGAACAGCCACCACCCAATTGTCCACTGTGGAGCTTGGAAGATTTTCTCTCAACATGTTGATGTTTTAGTTGAAATGTTGGATTTCCTAGAAGCAAAGGACTTCTCAGCAGAGTAGAATACTGGTTTTGTAGCGATCTATAATCCTTCAATCTTAGAAGTTTTCTCTAAGCATGTCATTGGTTTCATCACTGAATAAGTGTAGTTCAAACTTCTAACTTCTTTGGGTCAGGGGAGATCTGAGATGGGTTTAGGGTTTTGACTGAAAAAGTGAAAATTCACGACTTTTTGTTGTGGAATTGTAGTAGCTGAGGATTATATATGGCTTCTTTTATGGTCTTCAGTTCACTGTAGGAAATCTGAGAATGTTATCCTTGACCTGGAATACCTTTACTTACATCAAAACATCCCTTAGCTAATTTCTATTTTGTCTCATGATTTTTAAGGATTTTTTTAGGTTTGTTTGCTCTTGAATCTTTTGAAGTATGTATCAATAACTAACCGCATCAGATTAATTCAGAAATCCAATTACTATTAATCTATTATCAAATCGAATTCAAATTCTTGTTTTGATAGATATCAAATTGAATCTGGATATGAAGTATTCCTTGTATAGATATACCTGAATTTGACTCAATCCATTTGCAGCTCTTGAACACACTCCCTTTAGTAGCTACCACGATTTGATCTGTTATCTGTCTCCCACTCTCCCTTTAATGAAAGCTCTTAGAAACTAAGAGGTGATAGTGGTAAACATCTTTTGAGAACCTTGGCAATAAACTGTACACCAAACTGACCATTACATCTTAAGCTTATTTTTATCAGTATATCATCATTTTTATATCTTTATCATTTATGGGAAGACCTCATTGTGTTATTATTCCCATTTTTCCACTTCAAGCAGTCCAAAACTGTAATTGAAAACCTTAATGTGGTTAAGTGTGGAAAAATGAAGTCATTATCTAGATTTCCTCTTTGTAGGTGTCCCACTCAGTTGTACTTACACGCATTTCCCTTTGACTTCCTTCACCACCATTTGCTCATGTTTAGCACATGTGATTATGTATGTTCTGCTGGCAATCATTAACACCATTTCACAGAACAATTATGTCTACTTTTCATAAGCGTCATAATGTTTATATGTCATGAACTCAGAATCCGCACATAGTCAATGCGAAAAAGTACCAACTCAAAAAGGAAAATAGAAAAGTTACCATCTTATAGAAGCACAACCTTATATTTCTTGCAGACTGCTATGATCTCAGGAAGTTTGCAGAGCTCCCCTTCCATGCTATATATTCCCTCTACAACAACAATGATCTTTTTCCAAGGTCTATGTGTCCGCGGCTGTCCCTCAGCAATTTGTTCTCTCAGAACTTCCTCCAGGTGAGATGGTGCTAAAAAGCAACAAAGTAATATGACAGGTAAATATTTCTGTTTTCATCAGTAAGGCAGGTAAAGAAGTGACATGAACAAAAATACTATTAGGGTTACATTTTTGCAGCGCTGAGGTTGGAGGCAACAATGTATCATGCTAAAAACTTACTATTATGTAAGAAAACACGAATAGTGGCTCCTGATCCTCGAGCACCATTGACAATTGAATTGTGATTCAAAGAATCACTAATTATCAACCCTCCCTGTAGATGATCAGCATGAGTAAAGGCGTAATTTCTAACTACCAGAGCATAATGCCCAGGGGATAATGAACCTAAAGTACAACTTTATATAAAGTAAGCAATTCTGCAAACCTTTCCAATCAGAACTGGGAGGATGGCGGAGTTTGTGACGTAGCCCATACCAAATACTACAGCAGCTGGCTTTCCAACAAATTTTGCAACACACTCTTCCAGCTCATTGTGCAATACAGTAGTGCCTGATGGAATACTTGCATTAGCTAGAATACAGAAACACAAAGAACAGGATCCTGTAATATATACATACCACCATCTACACAAGTACTACAGGTACTTGCTGAAAACGTCTCCAGTGACCGGAATACACGGGGAGTGCAATATTCATCTGATGCAGCAAACCCAAGGTAATTGTATGATCCCAAGTTTAGACATCTATTTATATTCGTTGTCCGTCTGTAATAAAAGCAATTATTAGAATATATCCTAAACACATTTCAGATTTTATTTACATGTAAGGAACTTTCTACATATGAATATTAAGATCTTTAATGAGAAGTGGTTCAATGCTCTTTCAGTGTTTTAAAAGCGCAAGGCGCAGGGGTCAATTTGCGCTTGAGGCGCAAGGCGCAAGGCAAGGCGTGCACCTTTGTAAAGCAAGGGAAAAATTATAAAAAATGCTAAAAATAAAAAAAAATGTCAGAAATTTCAAAAAAATGCCAAAATTTAAAAAAAAATATTAAACATAATATTAATAAAAAATATAAACTTAAATTTTAAAATAATGTTTTAAAAACCTATTATCTAAAATTAAAATACATAAACATAAGTTGTAAAGCGTATTCAAATGAGAATTTAAAAATAAAATCACACATATAAAACATTTTCAAGCATTTAAAACCTCTAATCTCTTTTTTCACTCAATTGCATTACTTCACGTAGCTAATGTAATGTAAAATATATTACATTCCTAATTCTATGTGCCGCCTTTGTGCCATGCCCCTCGAGGCAAGCCCAAACAAGTCCACGTTTTTTTATCAATAACAGTAATTTTATTAGAAGAGATATAGAAATTACAACTAGAAGAGAGGGGTAAAAAGTCTTAACCCTCCCTAACAAAACTGAAAACACATGTTACAATATAGCCCAAAAGAGATTTGTTCTTCCCACTCCCTGTTTAGCCAAGGTATCATCCATGGAGTTAGTACACCTCTTGGCCCATTGAACCTTACAATCATACTCTGAGTTAACTGAATAATTTTCTTTCTTTCATTAGAGAACTTCCACAAGCTGGACACTTCTGCAACCATCTAATAGTCAACTGAGAGTCACCTTCCACCAACAACTTACTAATATTCAGCTGCTTAGCTCTCTTAAATCCTTCTAGAGCTGCCAAGATTTCAACTCTCAGTGAGTCCCCCCAACCTATAGGTCCTGAGAACATAGCAATGATTCAACCTTCCTCATCCCTGAAGATACCACCTATACCTGAATGGCCTGGATTTCCTTCACTGCTACCATCGAAGTTCAATTTGATGAAACCCGAATCTGGTGGAGTCCAAACAGGTCCAAGAGCAGTGGACATGGGAGCTGACTGAGCCACTTCTTCCCACTTTCTAATGATGTCTCCTACTGAATAATCTTCAAAGAGCTTTAAAGGCTTCCCAATGAGCCACCCTAACATATATAAGTTCTATGATGGATTCCTTACTTTTTTCTTTTTCATGAAATACTCTTCGATTTCTTTCTTCCCATACCGTCCAACAAACAGCAGCTCTAGCACAACTCCACAATATTTTCCCTTTCTTTTTTAAACCCCTCACTGATGTGGAGCTAAACAAGCTTTGCACACTAGAAGGGGAGGTCCACCTGCAACCAAATAGAGAAATAAACCAACACCAAATATCTGAAACAAAAGGGCAAGAAACAAACAAGTGATAACAATTTTCACCATTCTTCTTGCATAAGATGCACTAGTGCGGGGATAAACACCAATTAGGCCTTTTCTTTTGAAGCAGGTCACAAGTGTTACACTTTTCTAGGAATGCTTCCCAGCAAAATGCGCCTTCCCTAGGAGGGATTGGATTACCCCAAATTTCTTGGACTGGAAAAGAAGACCCCAGAACCGGACTAGGCTGTGTCAGTGCTTTGGAAAAGGAGGAGCAAGAAAAGATACCCAAAGGGACAAGAGACCAGACCCTAGAGTCCCCAATGGAAGGTTCAAGGACTACCTCATCCAAGATCATAAGCAAATTCGAAATGGGTTCCAATTCGGGATCTCTAAGCGCCCTTCTAAAACCCAAGTTTCAATCAATAGCAGAATTAGACAAGGTAGCAAAGGTAGCTACAGGTTCATTTTTAAACCTAGCCAAAGCAAACAAAGAGGGAAACTGCTCTTTCAAGGGGGAATCCCCCACCCAAATGTGTTCCCAAAAATTTACTAACAAGCCAGAGCCAAGATTATACCTGATGAAGGGAAAAAAAAGATTAAAGGATGGCGTGGATCAACTTCCACGGAGAAGCTCTTGAAGCCCTAGATGAGAGTCCTGGATCCCAACCAGTTGCCTCTTGCCCATGAATACTTAGGATTATTTTGGCCCACAAGTTCTTCCTTTCTTTAGACCACCTCCATAACCATTTCCCTAAAAGAGCTTCATTCTTCTTCTGCAGGTTTCCCAACCCCAGACCCCCTTCACTTTTAGATCTTGTAACTAGATCCCACCTAACTCTATGGTCCCTTTTCTCTTCCCGGGTTCCCATAAGAAATCCCTCATCAGTTTTTCCAACACCCTATAGACTCCTTTAGGCATTTTGAACACAGACATGAAATAGACTAGAAGGTTTGCCAATCTTGACTTAATCAGTGTAATTCTACCCCCCAGAGACAAATAGTTCTTCATCCAGGAACCTAGCCTTTTAGTGAATCTGTCAATCATCGGATTCCAAAAGCTCCTTTTCCTAGGATTATCCTCTAAAGGAAGCCCTAGATATTTCAGTGGCCAATGAGCTATCTCACAACCTAACACTCGAGCCCTTTCCTCCACCTCTCCCTCGCTCATATTAATACCAATCACACAACTCTTACCAAGGTTAACTTTGAGGTTGGTCATTAGTTCAAACACCTTAATCACCTTCTTCAACAAGTTACTCACCCAACTAATCTCCTCTCCATCACAAAACAGAATAGTGTCATCTACAAATTGTAGGTGAGTGACCGGAACCCTATTCCTGCCCACTCTCCATCCACTAATCAAGCTTCTTGGATCTGCCCTCTCAATCAACCTCCCTAACACTTCAGCAATTAGGGTAAAGAGGAAGGGGGAGAGAGGGTCCCCTTGCCTAATACCCCAAACAGCTGGAAAGTGATCCACCACTTTCCAGTTGTCAACAGAATCATTAAATGATTTTATAGTTTTCACACAAAAAATAATGATTTTATAGTTTACAGTAACAAGCATTACAAGTTGTCAACAGAATCATTAATAAATGTATCTGTGCAACAGAAGTCGATAAAAATTACCAAAAGAAAACAAACAGAAGTGTACATACAGGAAAAGCTAAAATACTATTGAAAGGGGGGAAAGTCCAAAATAAAATAGGAATCAAAAACTCACTTTAATGTCTTGTTGTTGTCATTGGAATAACGCTCAACCACATCAATCCAAGCATCAGGAGCACTTGCTATTGGCCGTCCAAAACAGTCCTGACCACAGGAGTAAAAGAGAGAGAATTTCATTTCCTATTTTACAAATAGAACTTGAGAGATTGCTATGTAGTAACATATAATAATCTTCTACATATTTTTGATTGGTTACTGACAATTTTATTAGAATAACAAAACTAATGTTATTTACAACCTGCCATGCATCCCACAACATAGGCTAGGGACTCACTTAACCCTTCTAGCAATGCTTCATGGATTGCAGCATGTGAGAGAACTGAATATTACAAATTTAATCATTGAAGGTGATTCTAAAGACTAAACTTCTCGCATTCTTATTCACACCTATAAGTTGTCTTTCTTTCATGCCTAGATGCTACATGCAGATGGACTGCTATGAGGTTTAGTTGGGTGGTATGCAGTCCTGAGTCCTGACATTAAAACATCAAACTTCTCACATGCTTGTTCACAACTATAAGTTGTATTTCTTTCATGTTTAGATGCTAGATGCAGATGGACTGCTATGAGGTTTAGCCAAGTGGTATGCAATCCCGAGTCTTGACATTAAAACACCAAACTTCTCCCATTCTTGTTCACAACTATAAGTTGTCCTTCTTTCATGTTTAGATGCTAGATGCAGATAGACTGCTATGAGGTTTAGCMGAGTGGTATGCAATCCTGAGTCCTGACATTAAAACACCAAACTTCTCCCATTCTTGTTCACAACTATAAGTTGTCTTTCTTTCATGCTTAAATGCTACATGCTGCGAGGTTTAGCTGGGTGGTATGCAATCCTGAGTCCTGACATTTGAAACACTATCAGATCATTCCTAAAGAATGAAATAGAGAAGAAACTTATTTTATCAGGCGTTCAAATGATGACCTGCCAAATCCATTTACAGTTCAATTATAGTTAATCAATAACATCAAGGACTATCTATTTTTCTTCACACATTGACATAATCGTGTTTCTGTTTTTGAGGTTTTTAAACTTGGTCTTATGCCAAGAATTATCAAGTCAAGTAAATAGGCATGTGAAATATGCCTACTAAAATATGTCAGAACAAAATAATCTGCAATATCGAGACAAAATCCAATAAAAAGTAACTACGATGAAAGAACAAAGTTAACTCTGTCAGGACGAATTACCATGAACTGAAAAAAAGTGATTATCTTTTTTTTTCTGAGAAAAATGATTATCAATAGATGGCACAAAACGCAACGAACAAAATAAAGTATATACCTGAATACGAAGATACAAACGCCGGATATAGAAATCCTCCAGCCCTAAGCAGATCGGCGCATAACCCTGTTCCATAGAGAGACGCCGTTACCGAACATAAAAACATTCAATGAGAATGACACCTCCAACAGAACCTTAGAGTGATAGACAGACAGACCTGAAGGTTGTCGGCACTCCACCAATCGAGAATTTTTCTGAAAAGATCTCTGATTTGCCCGAATGCGAATAGCAACCCATAGCTGAAGTACGTGGTTAGGGCAGTCAAGTAGGGAATGGTAATCATTTCGATCTGTAACCGAAACCTAGAAAATTTGCTATGAAATTGAACCTGCGATCATTCGAGCATGGAAGACCAGATCTGCAAACTAGAATAATACGAGTCAGTTCTGATTTTAAGGTGAATCTTTGCAGGTCAGTGTTCGTCGGTCGGGAGAGGTCGAGTGTCGAAGATCCGAGATGCTCAAACTGCCATTCAAGACTTCTTCTTCCACGATAGGAGAGAGAGAGAGAGAGGAATGGTGGAATAACCAGACTAGCAACTCGTTATCTTGATGGATTCGCGGAAATTGCCGAGGAGAGATTTTCAAACGAAAAATCTTGATGGATGGGCCCAACCAAAACCAAGGAAGCGACCTATTCTGAGCTGGGCTGATTTGTACTACTTCTCCCTTCTTTTTTCCGTTGCTACTACAAGTGAATAGTGTCAATTGTTCAGTCCTGTTGGCTTCCGACTGCACACAGGCTGTTACCATCAGTGGCTCGCTGTAAGTTCTCCCTGATAGATAACGTAGCATAAAAATAAAAATAAAAAACTATGCGGCAATGGTACACTCAATCTGCCAATCCGGTCGGATACAGGGGTGCAATTCGGGCCGGTTGGGCCGCGTTGAAGTCAATCCAAACCCAACCTGATGAAAAGATTGGATACTTGGATTCTTTAACCCTGACCCCTCGACCTGATGAGCCAAAGCCTACCTTGGCCCTAAAATGACTTTTTCTGGATGTCGTTAAAAACTAAAATTACTAAAAGATATTTACAGGGGGTATAATAATAGTTCATACATGTTAATGTTATATTGACATAAAAGAAATATAAGGAATCAGATTAAAAAGTTGGCAAAGACTCAACCTTTGACCTTGTCCTAACTCCTAACCAAATCGAAATCGGGTTGGGTTGAAACTGATTTTTGGCCAACCTGAGTTCTGAAAAGTGAAAACCTCAACTCAATTGGAACCCAAACCGATTTAAGCCAACTAGGTTTTAGGTTGATTTGTGCGCTGCGAAGTTGTACTCCTAGTCGCTTCAACGAAACAAAAACATACCCACGGTCGACCTGGACGGACATGCGTATGTTCGTTCAACTTTGACCATGGAATTAATTTTGTTCAAAGTCATAGATAGGGAGTAGCTCTACTCATGCAGCCTGTCACGCTTCGAGCGTGGCTGCTAGCTGGATGTTTCAAACAATTATTGAAGGTGATGTGAAGACCATCGTTGATCTTCTGTTTAAGGGTGGCTGTAGCCGGGTCAGGCTCGATTTGGATTGGAATGACTTCTGGGTCATGTTGAGGGTTGAACCAATCCTATGCCCTCTCTGGAGTTCTGACCCGGTGTCATTCTTGGTTATGCATCATCCTGTCTGGTCTCCGATGTTGGACAGGGCCAGATTGAGAAAGACTTAAAGAGGGTATATTACGGACTGACGACCGACTGAGTACTACGTGATTGCGGGCTTTGACGGCTCTTAGAAATCAGAATCCCTATGCCTATGTTTGATTTGAAGGAAAAAGAAGGGAAATGCGAGTAACCTATATAAGATTTGTAAAGGTTTCACTTCTTTTCTTTTTTTTTTCTTTACTCTTTCCTTCAAACCAAACATAGCTTATATGATGAGTCTTATTAAAACTAATTATTGAACCGGGACAATAGGGGCCCAATAATACTTGAGATCTATAATTACATATCATTAATAATAATTAAAAAAATATTTTTGATAATATTAATAAAATAGTAATTATTTATATGTTGATAAAACAATATTTTTAACCAAAATTGTCTTATATTATATACTATATATAAACTTTACCCTTTTGTACATAAAATCAGTCTCTCCATGTCAGCATGTTTCTCCTTTGAGARAAGCTATTTATCTATTTTCTCCATTTTTGTATTTTTTTCTTATTTTCTTTTGTTTTAAAAATATAAAACAGTAATCATTACTTATCTTGATTAGATTAATAAAACTGCACACTATTAAAGAAAAAGACCTTTAGGTTTTACAAGGCCTCGCATGCTATTATTACATTTAAAAAAGACATTTAAGAGAGAGAGAGACAGAGAGAATAGTAATAATATAAATCAAATAATATAAATAGGTTAAGGTTAAACAATCAAAAATTATTAATTYAAAAATCCACTAAACATAAATATTAAAAATGTGTTTCAATTCCACTTAAAAATCAAATTTAATAAACACTAATAAAAATAATAAATTTAAATATAAAAATATTAATGGATAGTTTTAAACTTTTAATAATATTATTAGATAACTTATGAGTTGAGACCTTTATTGTGCATAATGAACTCATTAAAAATGATAAAAATTAATGAAAATTGAAAATGTAGAACCCATTTTATTAATAATGAAAAAATACCAACAATTAATTAAAAAATAAATTTAAATATAAAAATATTAATTGATAGTTTTAATAATATTATTATTGTATTAATGCATTTTTAATTAATTAATAATTTTTATGAGTTGAGACCTTTATTGTGCATAATGAAAATTTAAAATGTAGAACATGTTTTATTTTAAAATTTACTCATAAGCAATAATTTAGTATGTGTTTGGTTCCGTTTATGTTTATTGGGTGGGCGTTTATCTGATAAATGCCCACTTTAAACATTTTTCCATTTCACGCTATTTGGTGGCGCGCTTCAAGAAATAGTCATATGGATGTTTCAATGTGACATTTTCATTGTGGTGTATAGGATACATTAGTTAATCCAACAATCCAAATTACATGTGCTTGAATTTGAAGACCGATTTTCAATGTGTTTTTCCATTTCGATCTTGAAAAGAACTACCATGAATTCAAAGCATAGCACAAGCATAATAACGGACAAAAATAGAAAATAACCCTAGATCTCAGAGATTAAAATATACCCTCTATTTTCGCCTTTGATTGAGATACGAGAAACTCTCTCCCTATGATCATAGAAAATAGAGAGAAAAATCAAAGACCTTACCGAAAGTTGGGGAAAAACAAATGTTAAGAGAAAACAAAAACCTTGCTGGCGGCAACTACTCCTCCCTCCAACGAAGACTCTTCTCTCCAATCATTGCTTGGGTGTTCTCCTCTACGGGTAGCGAAGAATCCTCTCTTTGGTGCGTGCTTTAGGACTTAAGTCATCGATGAGAGAAACATAACATATTGGGATGGTAGATATGGGTTGCACCAAATCACCACCATTAGGTGCCACGTTAGCTGACACGTAGGATCCATGTCAACACAACATTTCATGAAATGCACAGGCGTTGGAGGACCCAATGGCTACTTTCACGAAAATCTATAAAAATAAATGCACAAGTGTTTTTTAATAAACGCGCATACCAAATAGTGGTTTTGAAGCCAATAAATGTTTCTTGTGCCAAATGCTGATATGGCATTGAGGTGGCACCGTTTTTTCAATAAACGCAAACGAAACCAAACATCCCCTTAAGCTATAAATAGTATAAATTATTAAAAATACTCATATGCAATAATTTTTAGTAATCATTGCTTATCTTGCATGGTGTTTGGAAGTGTTGGCGCTTTTTGGGACCGATTCTCAAGAAAAAATGCCCATGCTTCCAAGACCCATTTTTCACAAAAAAAAATGCTTCTGCCACATAGGCAGTGAGCACCGTTTTTCATCACCGTTTGGTAAGGTGATTTTCATTGCCACGTAAACAGTAATCATTGACACGTAGGCAATGAGCACAAGATAAATGCCTATGCTGTTTGGTAAGGTGATTTTCATCACCGTTTTTCATGTATGTGCTGACAGGTAAACACCACATAGGATACACATCAGTTAATCGTTGGGGGAAACGGTTCACCGATGCATAAAATGCCAAATTTAGCGTTTCATGCATCGATGGGGTCCCGATTTTCAAGGCATGCCCAATTTTTTAATAATCGGCTGAACCAAACAATGAGATACATGAGCGTTTATTGAAACGCCTATGTGGATCCGACATGTCACCGATTATTTATTTATTTATTTATTTTGAAAAATGGCTACAATTCCAAACATCCCCTTGATTAGTCACTCATGCAATAATTTAACAATAATTATTTTTAAACTGTAATTAACAATAATTATAATTTAAGCTATAAATAGTAGAAAATTACATTTTATTAGTTTTATCCAAGAAATTAGCAATATTTTTTGAAAATATGATAATTTCCATAAATTATTGTATTTTAAATAAATATAGTAATTTAAGAATTACAATATTTTAATAGCTAACAATATTTAACAAATCGTTTATAACTTAAGTAACTATTAGATCTATAAATTTGCAGGCTAAAGCAACAATTTTCTTTTGAGTTAGGTCTAGCTGAGATATGCACCATTCCCACACATTATCAGGGATAATCATATTTGAAGTCTAATTGGGTATCAAACTTTTGAAGTCCAATGATGGATTTAGCGCATAGGGCCCAAGCTAAATAACCCTGAATAAGCTCAACTTGGAAGTTATATCCATATATGGTAAATATTATTATATAATATTTAAATAACAAATTTTATATTAATATATATATATAAATGTTATGTATTTTTTTATACTATACTATTCTATACTATAATTAAATAAAAATTTTAACTTGTAAAAAATCATAGTTTTATAATCAATTGTATACATAAAAAATCATATGAAATAAAAAAATTAAACATCTTTTTCAATTTTTTTTAAAAATGGACCTCTCATAGGTTGGTCTAGTCCATAGCCTGGCCTGGCCCAAGGCTCAACCCATGGACCATCTCGGCCCATGGTATGGCATGGCCCCATGCGTGCTCGGGCCTAGAGGTGTAAATCGGGATGGACCGTCCACGGGCCGGCACGACACAACACGATGAAGTGGGCTGTGTCGCCTGCAGCCCACGACACGACCCATATATACTATTATATATATTTTATATGTTTATATATACAATATATTATATAAATTATAATTATATAATAATATATAATATATTAATAAAGTTAACAWTTTTTTTCAATTTTATTATACTAATTTATTTAATTATTGTATATATAAGCAGTTGTATACTTCAAAATTCATATAAAATTAAAATTTTAAGTTTTTTTCAAATTTTTTAAATAAATAGGCAAAAATAGCTTTGGTCCGGTTCATTGCTCGACTTGGGCCAAGGCTTGGCCCATGGGCCAGCCCGGCCCGCGGCACGGCACAAGCCCACGCGGGCCTGGGTCGTGGGYTGTGCCAGGTCGACTCCCAAAATTTTCAGCAGGTAGGGCGACGCGATTTGCACTTTGTGCGGGCCGCATGCGGGCCATGCCGTGCCAGCCCGACACGGTCCACTTTACACCTCTACTCAGGCCATGGGTTGTGCTGAAGTGACCCCCAAATTATCCCAGGGGAGGGAGGCATGGCCCAGGACGCCCCGTGGGCCAGCACGACACGGCCCACACTTTGTGCAGGCCACATGTTGGTCGTGCCATGTCGGCCCA